GTACAGCTGGACTTGGTCAGTCAGACAGGATCAAAATCTCTAGGGAGTCTGGTCCTGTGATTTAACTCTCTTGCACATTAAACACAGTCAAACTTTTTTGGGGAAAACATCTCCATGTGACAGTTCTCACAACAAAGCTTTCGGCACAGCTACACGGAAACTTCCTAGCAAAGCAGCAAAACACCTATGACCTCGACAGCAAGAGTGTGTACTGTTTGTTAGCTGAAGAGCAGAGCTCAGGGATAGGACTGAGAGAGGAAGGGTTTCTAAAAAGCATAAGGACAGGTTCTACCAGTGGAGAATGCTAAGCACTTGGGACCTCTCTCAAGGGTGGGTTCTGTTCACTGACTGGCTCAGAGTTAGGGCCTAAACCATGCTCAAGATACTGGAAGATCCAGGCAGGCTGGCTGCATAGAATAGCAGAAAGACCACCAGATTTCAGATAGCATCCACCCCAGCCTTTCAGCCTTCCAGCCTTCATCTCTGTACATAGTGTTCACTGCCTTAAGCCTTGAGCTCTGGACAGCACAGTCTTCAGACTGCACTCCCTGCAGTCTCCGGAGGCCCCATCCCTCCATGCAATTTTGGTTTTCCTTGTCCTTCCTGTAGTGCTTGTCCAGGCAATATAAGCTAAGCGTGTTGATTTTTGGAAAGACAGCCATGGAGGGCAATTTGAGGGGTTTGGGCTCATTATCTGATAAGAGATCAATAAGAGCACTCTGTGTAGTCGGTGACCAGTGTGAACGTGGGTTCATTCTGTTAAGCTATTTCCTCATCCAAACCCAAGCAGCATGTGTGTCTGCTAGACACCAAGGTGGGATGTGGTAGGTGAAAAAAAAAATTGAAAAGAGGCCTTTATGTTAAGCATGATCTCTGCCCCAGAAATATCAGAGAGGCTATACCAGTGAGGTCTCAACAACATCGCTGCCCAAGCAAGAGCTAAGGAGTACAACACCAAAACAAATGCTAACATGGAAGGGAGAAATCTCATGGTGCCAGACTAGAAACTACAAGCAACTAAGAGATGCTGAGAGCAGAAGAAAATGGTCTTCCTTGACTAAAAAGCCCCCTGCCCCCATTGGTATCTAAACCAAGTAATCAGCCCTGAAAGTATCAGCTCTCTGAAAGTATCAGCTCTTCAAATTGAGTACATCCACTCTTACAGAAAGAGGATCGGAAGTGGTGGTGGAGAACTGAGCCTACAAGACTGAGCCTCAATGATTCCCTGAGAGACCAGTGCATCACACGAATGGGCCTAGACCACATCCTTAACAAGAGGTGGGGGCCAAGCAGAAAGACACACATGCTTTATACTCACTTATAAGTGGATGTTAGACATATAATATAGGATAAACAAACTAAAATCTGTACACCTAAAGAAGCTAAGCAAGAAGGAGGACCCTGGGTAAGATGATCAATCATCATTCAGAAAGGCAAACGGGACAGACACTGGAAGAGGGAGAAAACAGGGAACAGGACAGAAGCCTACCACAGAGGGCCTCTGAAAGACTCTACCCAGCAGGATATCAAAGCAGATGCTGAGACTCATAGCCAAACTTTGGGCAGAGTGCAGGGAATCTTATGAAAGAAGGGGGTTATAGAAATACCTGGATGGGACTGGAGCTCCACAAGGAGAGCAACAGAACCAAAAACCAGGGATCTTTTCTGAGACTTGATACTCAACCAAGGAGCATGCATGGGGGTAACTTAGAATCCCTGCACAGGTGTAGCCCATCCCATCACTCCACTAAAAGTGGAGATGACTCACTTTTCCATGTGGAAAGCAGATTCTGCAAGTGAACATTTGGCTATGACACGGGGCGTGGAAGGCTGAGAGGCCTTTCCAAGGCACCACCATTGTCTCAGAAGAGGCACATTAGGAACAGAAGCCGCTTCTCCTTGTTAAGCCCTTGAAGGTTCTGTTCCTTCTGCTCTGTGTCCTCCTGCAGTCTCCTATCTCTCAATGGCATCTCAGCTGTGCCTGCAGTTTAGAAGATACTGTCCTCCCTTGAAGGCAAGTTCAGAAAGCTAACTCACTATAGCAGAAACAAACCAGGGAAAGCATAGGCTTTGTTTCACACTGGGTAACTGAGCTGCGGGACAGTACAGCTGCGTGATTGGCAGCTCAGTCTCCAAGTGGGTTCCCTTGCAAGGGGAACAGGGCCTGACTTTGACATGAACTCAGTGGCTGGCTCATTGATCACCTCCTCTGAGTGTGTGTGTGTGTGTGGGTGCAGCCTTACCAGGCCACAGAAGAAGACAATGCAGCCAGTCCTGATGAGACCTGATAGGCTAGGGTCAGATGAAAGGGGAGAAGGACCTCCCCTACTAGAGGACTGGGGGAGGGCATGGGAGGAGAAGAGGAAGGGAGGGCGAGATTGGGAGGAGAGGAGGGAGGGGGCTACAGCTGGGACACAAAGTGAATAAATTGTAATAAATTAAAAAAAATTAAAAAACAAGCAAACGAACAAAACCGAGCTGGGGGCCCACACTGCCTGTGCAGGGCTGTTCCCCCTAACAGAAGTCCCTAGGCTACAAGACTGTGCTCTGGAACATGTCTTCTGTGAGAACCAGAAGGCAGAATGCTCCAGATGCAGTGACTCTTTCTAGCCGAGTGGAACATTTCACAGTGTTCAAGCTCCAACCATCACGGATGGCCTTATTTACAGTAGATTATGAAAACACAAGGGTTAAAGAAAAGATTCACTAGCTAAGTTGCATGCACTGTTCCAGGCCATCTCCTTTGCCTCCATGTGACGAGTTATCGGTAGGATCAGAATTCTAGGCAGCTTGAATCTTAGCTTCAGTTCCACCATACCATGCTTCGTTAACTAAATCAAATGCAAACTTGTCCCATATCTTAGCTTCTATTCACTGTTTCCCCAGCTGCTCTGTGCTTCCCACCTCTGTGATCTTGCTTCTGGGGGCAAATCAGGACAAATCTGTGTGACTGCCTGCACTGTTGAATTGGCCATAACTTGAATCCCATGACTCAGGATGAGCCAGGGATCCTCTTTGCTAAGTTTCCATCCCTGCTCTGGATGCTCTGCCCTCACCTTCTCTCCCTGGCTCTCTCACCCTGAGATAGTGGATGGAGTACAGTGGATAGAGAAAGATATCAAACAACATTCAGCAGTCTGTGGTGCTTAAGCCACAGGACCCTCTACACACGAGGGTTCCTACACATGAGGTACAAAGCCTCTGAGAAGCCTTTGGTCTGACAATGACACCGGGTGTCGGTTCATATCCAGTGTCCTGGTGCTGTCCCACAGCTCAGTTACCCAGTGTGAAACAAAGCCTATGCTTTCCCTGGTCTGTTTCTGCTATCATGAGTTAGCTTTCTGAACTTGCCTTCAAGGGAGGACAGTATCTTCTAAACTGCAGGCACAGCCGAGATGCCATTGAGAGATAGGAGACCGCAGGAGGACACAGAGCAGAACGAACAGAACCTTCAAGGGCTTAACAAGGAGAAGCGGCTTCTGTTCCTAATGTGCCTCTTCTGAGACAATGATGGTGCCTTGGAAAGGCCTCTCAGCCTTCCACACCCCGTGTCATAGCCAAATGTTCACTTGGAGAATCTGCTTTCCACATGGAAAAGTGAGTCATCTCCACTTTTAGTGGAGTGATGGGATGGTCATGGTTGCAATCTAGTCATTCTCTGACACCTAGACCAGTTCCTGTATCTTTTGTAATATGTAAGATACGGTGGGCTGCCAAGTCATTACCCAGCCTACTCCGCACACTCATCTATTTTCTCCATTTCAAAACATTTCCCACTGTCTCTAATCCCAGATGTAAGAGGGAAACTAGATTTCTAAAAGACAGTGTCTATAGCTCCAAAGCATTCCTAAATCTACAGCTCTGAACCCGCTCTTCAGCCCGAGCCACTATTCTATACATTTAGAATAGTGCTTGAATATGTGCCAGTCTCCCTGGTCAGGGCCTGTGCTCTTTGAACGTCTGCTCACATAGGCTCGAGCCCCTTGTGAGATGAGAGAACACATCAAATGTTGTCCTCCTTTCTATCCCAGATACCCTGGCATTTTGAACCCCTTCCATCCTAAAACTAACACACCTAGAACCTTGGATCCACTCGAGGTACACTGAACACATTGCAACAGCTGGGCCCCGTGTGGGTAACTTGATCTCCTGACTGACTAGATTATCAATGAGCATAAACCAGTAATTGGATTCCTCAGCATTTAAGTATATTAGTCAATACTCTATTCACTCTTCAGCTACTGAAGCTACACCCAGCAGAACTGACTGAACCTTGGCCTTCTTTAGAAGCTCAGGGTCAAGAATATCTAGACATTGTCAGTGTTGTCTTTGTAAGCCTTTCTGGTGTAGTGAGAAGATGAGTATGTATCACTATGGTTCTCTCTCTCTGATAAAATGAAACACTCTTACTCACGAATCTTGACAGTTCTCAGGCACTGATGAAGTACAAGACAGGTTCCATTTAAACTAGAGTACCCCCATAGCAAAGACTTTACAATACAGCCCATTTTTACTTTTGTCATCGCTACCTAAATTCTAGTTTTGTCTCTCAATTCTGAGTGTGTTCAAAGCTTAACCAATTTGGTTCTCAGAAGACCCAAAAGTCCCTTCCAAGTTTTTAAATAGTTACAGAAAGCATAAGACTATATACAAGGGCAATTTAGTACCAAGCTACATGCCCTGGGGCCATCCCTAAAAAAATATCTTGTCCATACCAGCTTTATCTGTGCCCATGGCCAGAAACTGATCTGGAAATATGCCCAGGGCCTGGAGGACCTCAGGAGAGTCCTGTCAAACTGGACTACACCCATCAGGTTTGTAAGCTCCTGGGTGAGTGGGTGTGTCCTTTGCGGTGAGAGACACTGGAAAGACACGTCAGGAAATATGTCATATTGTCATTGCTGTGACATTACAAGAATTGTAATCATGGCTTACCTTGTTATATAGGCGGACAAGCACACCTTTTGGCCCAGTCTTGGCTCTTTGGGAAGCAGTCAACTATGAGGCTCCATTATCTGCTATTTGCATTCCTCATCTTGTTCTTGGTGCCTGCTCCGGGTAAGATGGATTGGGAAATACGATGGGTGGAAAGGGTTCATAATGTGTCACTTACTTTGCCCTTCTCGGTGAGCATGAGATCGGGTGGATTTGTTGAATGGATACCAATTATCACCAATGTTTTCTTGCAACAACAATCATTAAGAGCCTTAGAGCAGGCTTCTGTGTCTGTCCTGTTCCACTCTTAAAAGAGTAAATAGTGCCTCAGATCCCAGCTCTCCACCCACCTCATCACTGGACTGCTACTAATGAGATATGAAAAAGCTGATGTGAAATTCTAATTCTGACAGAAATGAACAATTTAGTTTGATACACAAACCCACAGATATCTCTTCTAATGGGCTGTAGTGGTTAGAGGGAGAGAGACATGCTAAGCTTCTTGAAAGGTTCTGGTGACTATGGTGGCTCAGCCCTCAGTTCTTGTGGGACTTAGAGCCCAGGCCACTGTGTGCTCACAGCTGAGGAGCAGCCCACAGAGACACTGCTTGCCTCCTGCTCAGACCACCATTAATTTTACTTGTGATTTTATAAGAAGAGAGAAAAGAGACAAAGGCGAAGCGAAACTAATTCAGCGATAAGTGGTTTGCCGGATCCGGTGTCTTTCTAACACTCTCTTTCTGAAATCTCCTTGTTATTTTCCCCTCACAGGGGCTGGATTCCTCGCAAATGGACTCCGAAGATTCTTCTGCCGAATAAGAGGCGGCCGGTGTGCTGTGCTCAACTGCCTTGGACAGGAAGAACAGATAAGCAAATGTTCGAACAGAGGTCGAAAATGCTGCCGAAAGAAGAAGAAGTAGAACACCCGGATGCAAAACGAGAATGTCGTCCTGTGGCGGAAGCGGTGGTGGCAGCGGTGGGGAAGGGGGCTTCTTGAGGGGTGTACAAAAGTACAATCAAATTAATATATATATTTTTTAAAAAACAGCAGCTTAATATTTTTGAAAATTCTAGTCATTGTTAACAAATGAACAACTAAGAAAGTCATTAGACTCAATTTGGTTTGAAGGAAGCAGCATCTCTGCTGTGGTCTACAAGACACTTAAGCTTATTTTCCAAGGGCCAAGGATGCCAATGGTGTGTGTGTGTGTGTGTGTGTGTGTGTGTGTGTGTGACATGTATATAAATATATGTGTATATATGGCATGTACATACTTACAGACATTCTATATTTTGTACATTTTTATATCCCATTGAAAGCAAAGTTGTTATCTCTTGAAATACACCCCTTTGTGTCTTACTATAGATATTTTGAGCTTTCTGACTTCACCCCAGGATTGTGTTTTCCTGAATCTAAAATGTTAGTTCATTCCAGGTCAGCCTTAAGCTCCTCTCAAAACCTTTGCTCAGAGAAACGGGAACTCAGCCCTCCCTTGTGTTCTCCCCGCTTTCCTGCTGGCCTTTACTCTGCTGCTTCTTCCTGGTACATGCACTACCCACACGTTTCTCAACTCTGATGTGCCACCTCACCCCAGAGGCTGTCCTTCAGTTTCTTCTTCCTCAAAACAGCAAGCTTCCCAAGTAGGAACCGTCTGTCACTAAATGTGCCTGGCACAATGTTCTGACTGAGTCCTCTATCTACAATTCTTGTTTGTTTTTGTTTTGTTTTCCAACATAATATTTTTATTGGTTATTTGGGCATGTCATGTCATGCACCCAGATCACACTTACTCCCCAGTGCTCTCAGGTTTTCCCTTTCACCCTTGTGGCCTCTCTCCTCATCCCCCCCACACACAAAAAGAAGAAACACAAGTCCAATTCCTGTTGCCCATACAGTCACTGGAGCATGGTTAAACTCCCAGCAGCCAGCCCCTGAAAGAAAACTGAGTCCTTCCCCACTCACAGCCCTGCCAGATGCGCTCAGCTGTTCCTGATCTGCGGACATTCAGGCATCGACACCCTCCACATTTCCCTGCATGATTCTTAACTCTTAATGGTACGGCCTGGATCTCATCTCTAGACACTCAGTACCCTGACCATGGAACTGCTTAGCAAGCGTTCTTTGAGTTGAAGGACATTTGTGTAGCGTAGAGGTGTTTTCATTTTATTTGGTGCTTTCCAGAAGTTGATGCAGAGTGATTCCGGCATACCCAGTTAGAGGGATACACAGACAGGTAACGAGGCTCCCAGCAAGGGTAGAAGAATCACTCTGCTTCACAAAGTTTACAGAATCCTCTTCCATCAAAAACAGATGACATGAAAGGCCTTTTCCAGACACTGAACAGTAACCGGTGCAGACCTGTAACAGAGAGAAAGAGAGGAGGGATGATGAAGACAACACTAACTACAGGGGCTGTCTCTAAGCCAAGGCACAGACAGGGAGGCAGATTCAAGAGGCGCCGCAGCACGAAGCCACTGAGACAATAAAATAATTCAGGTAGTGTGATACACCTCCCCAATTCCCTTCAGAGGCGGGGAAAAAAGAGGAGAGGGTCTCAGATGGAGACAGTGTTGGAGAGCCACATCAGAGTGGAACAAGGGTGAGTGATGACACAAGGACACTTACAACAAAACGTCACATGGCCAGAGAAACTAAAACACAAGAAAGAAAGCATGTGGATGTTTCAGGAGGGTACAGGGCTGGAAAATGCATCCAGCAGAGTGAAAGACTACACCTTCCTGAAGTAGTGCAGGGACACTGGTGAGCTCTCTGCCAAGATTCCTGCAGCTCCCTGACAAGTTTTTAGAATGATTTTTGAAAGAACCATCAGAGAAAAACCTAGATCCGAGCCAGAGTAAACCCCAGCTTTCCTTTCAAGGAGACCGTCACATCCATCACTCACCAATTCAAGTTGTCTATTGTGCTAGATTCCATAGAAACTACCAGACAGGCAGAGAAGCAGCAGGAGGAGGATACAGTCCACTACCAGAAGAAAAGCCATGCAGTAAGGTGGGCCCATTGAGGCTGAGGGCAGGAGAACTAGTCAGCAGAGGTATAAAAGAGTCAGTGTAAGCAATCTCAGGGCCTAGGGTAGAAATGCTCATGGGGAAAAACATGAAGCATGTAAAGGATCAAATGGAAGTTCTAGAGAGGAATAAAACATGCTGAATTATGGCTGCAGACGTAGCTCAGTTGGTAAAGCATTCATCCAGCATGCACGAAGCCCTGGGTTTGATCCCCAGCACTGCATAAAACTAGGCTCATGCTTGCAATCCTAGCACTTGGGGGGATGGCATGAGGATTCAAAGATGAAGGTCATCAAACTTGATACAGAGCCAAGATGACCTTTGTCTTACAGGGGCATGGACAAAAGCTCACCACAAGATGGCAATAGTCTCCAGTCTGATTCCTGGCATGGTCATCCTTGCTCTCCACCCTCTCAGGGCATGGGGGGGGGGGATTGACTGTAGCAGTGCCAAGTAAGGCTGGTGTTTGGCTTTGTGCTGTAGAGAAATTGAGGGAGTAAAGTTATTGGGACGCCTGGGTCATTGGATGGGGATTAGCAGCAAAGACTTTGAAGACAGGCTCATTTTGTTTTCCAAGGATAGCCTTGTCACTCAGTAGCTAGGTAACCTCAATTCGGTGTCCCTGACCTTTTCCAGGTCCTGGGCTTTCATGTGTGAATCGGAGTCCTGCCTCTCTGGCAGGTTTGTGAATGAGGATTAAATGACATGACTCACACTCAAAGTGATCAAAATAGAGCCAGCCTCACATTTACAAAGCTCAGTGTTGGATGAAAATACAGGTATCTATATGCAAGGATCAGGGGAGGGGTGCGCACAAGAAGATAAAAAGCTTTCTTCTTTATTTCTAAATTATAAAGTTACACTTTATAATTTATGAAATGTAATAAGAATAAGAGGAATAAGAGCTGTAGGGGACTAGTAGCACAGGCTTATAAATGGTAAAAGACTGCTCTAGTTGTTAATTTATTAGTGAAATATATTGGTTGATTATGGGATTTTCCTGGCCAAAATTTTTACAAAGTAATTTCTTCCATCATTTACATATACTTTGAGCCCCCCCTTTTTTAGAATCGGGTGATGGGCTATGCAGGAGTAAAGGATATTTTGCAGTAAAGGATATCCTAACTTATATTAGGATAAGTTATAAGACAGGGATATTTCTATATCTAGAGATATTGACTCTTTTTATTTTAAAACAATACATTTTCTTGATAATTTTATAAGTACTTTGTTTACAACTTTTCCTTTTCCTCCTCTCCCTGTCCAACCTTTTCTGTGACTGCTCCTAAATTTCTGTGACTGCTTCTTTAATTATTATTGTTATATGAATATAAACATATACATACACGTATATACACACAACCTTCTGGGTTCATTTACTATTGCTCATGCGTGTTTGTGTTTAGACGGAATGACTTGAAATTGGATGACCCATGAGGGGGTTCATTCCTGGAGAAGAAGAGTTCTTCCTTTCTGAGCAGCCATTAAGTACCTGTATCTCTTCATCTGGGGGTGAGGTCTTGTGAGATCTCCCTAGTCTGTGTTGGAATGATAATTGGTCAAGGTACAGGTCTTGTTTAGGTAATTGTATTGTTGAGATTTCCTGGGGGCACATCCCTATTATATGTAGAAGATATAATATCATAACTGATGTCCTGGTCCTGTCGCTCTCTCAGTCTTTCCCGTCCTTCTTTGGTAATGTTTCCCACGTTACAGATGTATCAGTTTGGAATGCAAAAGTGGCACACATATCTTGATGATGGTGATTCTTAGAAAGATTCTAATATTTAATTGCTTAAATGTCTCTGTTTGGTGTATATTTGAATTTAATTCTACTTATTTTATTTTAAGACGTGTTTCTTTTTATTTTATGTGTGAGTATTTTGCCTGCATGTCGGTCTGTGCACCATGTAACCATGGAGATCAGAAAAGTGAATGGGTTAGATTCTTCTATAACTGAAGTTATGGATAGTCGTGAGCCACCATATCGGTGCTGGGAACCAAACCTGGATCCTCTGCAGGAGTAGTAAGTGCTCTTAACTACTGACTTATCTCTTCAGCCCCTTAATTTAATTTTAAATGAAACTGTGTTCAGTGGGGCTTTAACATTTCTGCTCATGTTTTATGTAGGTAAGGTGATGAACCCAGTTCCATACTTTATTGTAGTTTATTCCTCTGCTGCTGCATTCAATGGCTGCATCTTCACTGTGAAAGAAAAGTGAAAGTCAAAATCGTCCTTCTTGCTAACAATGGGATTATCTGGAGCTTCATATGAAAATGGCGCTCTTCCCTGTTGAGCCCAGCTCTCCAGACATTTGTTTAATCCTCACTTTGGAGGCTGTACCAAGCCCTTGAGATGTATAAGTCCCTGTAAGTGTTTTAAGAGCTCTGGTGTTTTGTTTTCTTTCTCTCTCTCTTTTCTGCTCTTTTACACAGTCACATGTAGTTTAAGATCACTCCTTGACTGTTGCTGGACCCCCTGGAGTTCCAGCCCAGAGCTTAGGTCAGAATTAACATTTGTGTACATATTCTGGGGTATTTCTATTGGTGGATAAATAAATGTGCTTTCCAAGATTAGCCCACATGGAGAGCACTTTTTTTTTTCTCCAGTTACCACAACCATCACCGGTCTGGACCCTGAGGCCCTAGAATGCCCCTTAGATGCTCAGAATGGCAGGCTCAGCCTTACCCTCTGCTCCTGAGCCTGTGTACTTCATCTCCAGAAAGGTCCAGTGTTCCAAGTGCTTTCTCCATGGTCTCATTGTATGTCACTGACAAAATGCCAAGTTAAGAGAAAAGAAAAAGCTAAGATGATGGCAACAGAGTGTGACACTAAACAACACCCTCCTTCTATTTCAGGGCCCTGTGTGATACCCCACAACATTCAGGCCCT